GATGCAAGAGGTTAATGGCTAAGTGCAACCAGAGAAACTGTGTCAAAAATGCACAGGAGGCTGCAAACTGAAGGAAAACTGCTGGAAGAAATAGAGGGAAATTATGAAGGATTGTGCAAATAATTGGAATTTCCATTTGCTAGATATGGGAAGAGATGGGGTCAGAAACCACCTGAACCAGGCAGCTGTGCCCAGCACTTAGTAGTGGGGGCCCCAACAGGCTCCCTGGGAAGGTTTTAAATTGGAGCAAGTTGCTCTTGGCTTCAGTCAGTCTTGTTGAAAAACTGATAAAACCCCAGGGATTTGTGTTATATGATTGGATAAGAATGTAACTCCTCCATACAGCTTCAATTATTCTTATAGGAACCACTGCTGTGCCTAATACACTACAGGATGGGAACACAGTTTGCATTGTGCGTGGAGATGAAAAATCCTTAGCAGTCTTGTGGAAGTCCATTTTAAAATTGTAAATTAGGACGGAGATAAAGAGCTGAGAAAGAGCGGAGAGAAAGAGCAAAACATGTCTGGTCTTTCCTGTGAAGGGTGCAGGAAGGTGTGTACAGATAGTGTGGAATGTTGGCTGGTCTACATAAAACAGGATCCAAAGCACTCTTGCTAAGGTAAAGCACTGCCAAACCAATGGGCCAGGATAACTGAAACCCTGGAGTGCTGGAGCCAGAATAACTGAAACCCTGGCGTGCTGGAGCACTGCATACCTGAGGAAAATCACAATAAAGCCTACATTTCAACAAGCTGCTACAAGAGCTCTGCAATTAATGAATCTTCTTTTGCTACAGATCCAAGGTGTTTGATTGACTTTGGTGTCAGAGGAGCTGAGAGCCCATCTGAAGCTGTTCCTGCTCACCAGTGTTTCTCTCAGCTCCTTGCTGAGCACCTCTTGCCCCATAGTGCTGTGCTCAAAGGCTGCAGAGCTGCAGGGCACTGGGGATCCCTTCTCCTCCTGCTCAGCTCTTTTCATTAAGCTTCCAGGGACTTAATTATCTCAGTGAGCTGTGCCCTTCTGTCAAATTGTAGATGGAATTGGTTAAAGAGCTAAAAACTATTAAGGAGCGGCAGGCAAAAAGTGATTGTACAGGCTTTGCTTCTGTGAGAAAACAAGGACGTTTTAAAATTTTGGGAAGGAAGAAAGGAAAAAATGTGAGCAATTATGGGCTTAGTAATTTGTTCTTATATGGTGCAAGGTTTAGAACAGACTTCGAGGAGGAAAGTACTCAAAGATATGAAGGGAAATAGAATAAGAACAAGATTTTATAAAAGGTGGATTGTGATTTAACACACCAAGACAAGGCAGGTGACTTCTTTGTCAAAGACAACACAGTGGCCTTTCTGTAGATTCAAACAAAGATTTTCACTGGAAGTTGTCATGTAATATAAAAAAGAAAAATTGAGATAAAAGAAGGGGAAACTTAAAAATAAGCCTCAACTAAAGGGAAAACATCAGCTCTTGAGCTGAGTGGCATAAGGGGACAAGGCAGCTCTGACAGGTGCTCATCAAGGCCCTCTTATGAGCCAAACAGCTTTAAAATATCTCCTGTAGTCACCTGGGTGCAAAAGGCAAAGGGCATTCATTTAATTAGCAAGTGACACAAGGATGCGAATGCCAACACCAGAGGCTACAGGCAAGATGGGGCAGTGGGGTGCGTGGCAGGGCACCAGCTCTGGCTGACAGACTGCTATGCACCCCAGGATGTCTGGAAGCCCACACACCTTCCCAGCTGTCTATGTGCAAGGGAAGAAAGAGACTGAACTAGACATGGGCAGAGAAAAGCTACAAGTTAATTAAGTGCTTACATGGTAATCTCCTCTTATGAAAGGAGATTGAAAGTGTTTGTCTCATTCAGCCACGCAAAGCAGAGGTATGGGGTGGCACAGGGCTGGAGGTGCTGCCCAGGGATGGACACAGGGAATGGCACCTCCTGGCACCAGGAATTCCCTGTGCCCTGCTTTAACTTTGACTCCTCCAAAGGAGCCTCGCTTGGGCACAGTGCACACAGCTGTCATTTGGGAGACAGAACCCCGCAGTTGCCTTATCCATGCATTGTCCTCACACACATTTAATTAAAACCACCTCCCAGACTTGAGCTCAAGGGAAATTTCTCCATTATTTCAGGATGCACATCACCACATGGCTTTGCCTTGTTCTCTGTAGGAGCTTGGCTGATTTCTGAGGATTATCTGCACGTATTTCAGACAATATACTGTTGCAGACAATTTGATTGTTGTTTTTAATCTTTTACTGTTTTGCTCTAACAGATTTAGACCCTTTTAGAAACCTGGAAATCTATAATTTGTAGAATGGGTTTGTAACGGGGGAGTGAATGTTTGAGTGGGCCTGTAAGATGTTTCATATCCCTGGTTAGAAACAAAGGCTACCTGCAATCTGAGAGCAGGTTTTTGGGGAGACTGCCAACCTACAAAGAGAAGGAGAGCAGCAGTGACTAAAGGAAGAAACTCCTTTTATGTCACTTTATCACCTTCCATGTCTACATAGTGAAGATACAGGAAAGGCCGCATCTGCAAGTTTACCTTATCTTGCTGCTCTTCCCCATATGTTTAATTTTAGCTCAGAATTATTTTTAAAACTTTCTGGTTTCCCTAATCTATCTATTCTTCTTCAACATAGTATCCTCAGTCTAAAAATAGGCCTGCATCCACTGGGCTTGTGATCTGCACATACATTTGACTCAGCACAGCATGCTGCCGGCAAGCAACCAGCAGCCAGCCTTTTGAAAATGTTTCATTTATACGTGTGGGAGTATTCTGTAGAAAAAACCCTCAGTACAGAGGAAGGGCACTCTTCTTCCCTCCCTGCTTCCATACCCAGAGAGGTGTTCAGACTTGTCAAACACTAATAAACAAGGTAAAAATAAGTGTTAATAAGGGCTTACCAAAAAAATAGTCCTTGAGACGGCCAAATTAGATCAGATCAAGGACCCTATTAAGTCTCTTTTCTTTGAATATGATCAAGAAGGGCTGCCTCAGATGTTTTCTTCAAATAAACCATGCAGCAGATAGTTATTGAATAACTTGATCACAGACAGTAAATCTTTACTCAGTTAACGAATGACTTATGCACAGACTTGTGCCTCTCCTGAGGTAATTTAAACAAAGCAGTTTTTTACAATCTGAAACATTGCTGTGTTTTGATTTGCTGTACCCTTGTCTTTGGATTCTACTGTTTACAATAATAACATTTGGAATATGAAATCTGACATAAAAGGCTGAAGGACCTCAGGGTAGGGCTGCCACCCTGTGCTGCAGAGAGTTCCCTGCAAATCAGCCTGTACCCGGGTGCAGCTGCACTCCCAGCAGCTGAAAACTCACAGCCTGAGCAGCCAAGGGAGGGAGCACCAGCCTCCCAGCCTAGGAATATTAAACAGCAACTCCTTCTGATGTCTCTCTACCATAATCTATGCAGCTCATCCTGAAATTGGCACTAAAGCACAGACGCTTTAAATAACACTTTGGAAGGAGGTTGTTTCCCCCACACCCAGATTCAGTAGGGGAAATTGGAGGTCCTGTAAACCTGGTGAGACACGGGCAGGGAAGACAGCTCTGGAGTTCAGGAGAGTGCTGCATGTTCTCCCTGGGCAGCCATGGAATTGTGCCAGAGGGTGAGACAGCTGGACTGACATGGCTACATCCTGCTCAGATACACTCCAAGCAGTCAGCTGGCAGGTTTGTGCTGCTTAGGCTGGGTCCCATTCCACAAGATATCAGCTAGCACCTGCATCGGGGGACTGTGGGATGGGCTGCCCTCATCTCACCCTGTGCTACAGCACACACTGCTCCAAGCCCTGAATTGTGACAATGAGGGGTTTCAGTATCCACTGGAACATCCACACTTCCTCTCACCATCCATACTGAGGTGTTTGGGAGTCTGGTTAAGTCCCTCAACAGCTCTCTCAGTCACCACATGGCTAGTTAGCAGCTATGTGGAAAAAAAAATTTAAATCAATTTTAATCTTTTTGACTTTTCAATCCATACAGGACATAAGAGAGTCTGAATTGGGTGTCCCAGCCTGGACCATACTGTTCAAGGTGAACAAGCTCAAATCTCACCATTTTAAGCACAGCCATGTCCCCTGGAAACTTTGCCAGCAGCTGCTTTGCCTGGGGAGTCTGGCAGCAAGTCATGTTTGAGAACTGCTCACCAGGCCATGCATCTTGTCAGAGAACTGCACCACCTCATCCCTCTGTAAGCGACATACTGCACATTACTTTGTCACCCTTGATGGCAGTGTGTCAGAGGATTGCCTGTGGCATGCAGTCTGGGAGGATGCTGCTCATGTGCACTGCAGACAAGGTGTTGTGGAGGGTTCAGCTGTTCTGAGCTGTCACAGCTGGAACTACCAGATACCAGAACAGCAAAGCAGCACAGAGAGGGCTGAGTGGTGAAAATTGACATTTGTATAAAAAAATAGAAGGCTTTGATAGAAGTGTGGGTATGAAAATTAAAATGTGAAAAATATGAAAAGAAACAAGCTACAGGAGTGGAAACCAGAAGGAAAGAGAAAATAATGAGTAGGTAGGTCAACCAGAGAAACTCTATGCATATAAGGTGGAAGAACTAAGGCCACAGGGTCTGTCTGTCTCTTTACTTCCCTGTGCACTCCACACTGAGATGTGAGCAAGGCACAGAACACCTGTGCCTCTGTGGAAGATGCTCAGCCAAACCTTGTATCATCTCCAGTGCCAGACACAGCTCTATCCACTGTGTGCAAGCACATATGGACAAACACTCAAAAGAGAACATTTTAAAAAATCTTCCTGCATAGACCATGTCAGCCCAACAGCACATGGAAATGCTTTGGAAATACATTTTGAAAAATATTTTCTGTTTTGCTCTTGCCTGGTGGCTATGCAGACTATGCCAAATGTGCTTGCTACCCATTGCTAAAAATGCAACCTGTGATACTCCTTGTAAGTTTTAATGAAGACAGACTTGATTTCGAATTCCATCTACTTTTGCTTTTCAGAGCTGTTGGAATGTTCTGGTGCACTAGCTCTCTTCATCTTCTGCATTCCTCTCCTACCTGTGAAATCCTTCACTGCCACTGATTTAACATATCTCTGCCATGTCACCCACATCCCAAGGTACTGTATCATCACTCACTGACATTCAGAACTTTATTAGCTCTGAATTTAGCTCTTTCACCTGAGTTTTGGAATTTTATGCCAATTTTTTAAGGGAACTGCCTATTTTCACGGCACTAGCATAGGTATCTATTTCAGTGAGAACTTAATTATTCATCACTGTGATATCAGTCAAATGACAGTGTTTATCTGCAATTAACCAGTGACAGATGAACCTCCCAGAAATATAAAAAGAACAACATTGTGCAGCATGTGATGATTTTCATTATATATTCAACATTCTGCAGCATGATGCATTACAGAAAGTGCCAATTTTTCTTTTCAATTGCTTTGAAAATCTAGCAGCATGCACCTCTGGGAGGTTTCTCATTTAATTCAAGGCACATTCATTGAAAATGGATATGGAGAGGAAACAGGACAACTGAGTAAATGGTATGGAATGAAGTGGAGGAGCCATGAACAATAGATTTGATTTTCAGTGCCATGACAACAATTTCTATTCATGAGGTATGTGAAATTAGGCAAAGTCCTGCTGCAGAGTGGACAAGTTGAGGCACTGAAGTAATTAGGAGATGGGAAAATGTGTAAGAGGGAATTTGCTGTGCTGGCCAAAGCAGACAGATTTTTGTTTACATTAGGATCCCACCAAGAGCACTTGCCAAGCAAAGCAAGGGAATGTTCTTAGTACAATGAGATTGGTATTTCAAATGTACAGCCTATCATGGCCTCCAGCATAACGAATTAGACTGGCTTGAGAGGCTTCTGTTGATTTAAAAGCTATCTGTCAGAGATGTGCTATGTGGAAGCCACATTTTGCCACACAGTGAATACTATTGTGCTTTTGTGAAGGTCTGCTGCCTTCATCTCACAAGATACAACTCACTTCACATTTCTTGTGTATATTGAAAATGGCCTCTTGTTCTTGCACAGAGCAGAGCAAGCTCTGAGGAGTCCTGACAGAGTGTTGATAAAGCATCACACCAGCATTAAAAATTAATGTACTCTCAAAGGCTCAGATCTAAGCTAAACTAGGAACAATTTATTGAAGCATTTTCCCTCAGTAAAGATTTCTGTGATTAGCCACTCGAGAGACAGAGTTGTTCAAAAGTATTTTATATTATTAGCTTTTCTGGAGGTCACCCTTTTATCATGGCAATAATGTGCTTCACTATGTGCTTCTCATTCAAAAAATGAGCAGTACTAGTTTTGTTTACATCCAAAATTTAATCACTTCAAGCACAGAGGGGTAATGGAAGACTTCAAACTAACATATGAAAATCTGAGAAAGCCCTGAAAACTGAAACTGGATACTCAGGATATAAATATCTAAGTTGTTTTTACTGTGTATTTTATTAGTACTCCAGATAGTCTAAAAATTGTACTCCAGACAAAACACAAAACAAGAGGTGTGTTTATCAATTTGAGCACAGTGTCTAACCATGCAACACCTAAGTACAAGAGAATGGAGAAAATGAAAAAATGAGAGACTAGGAATGGAAAAACTGACAAGTCCATACCATGGATAAGTCTTATTTTTTCTCCACCCTTAGGGAGAACAGCTGTGAGCAGAATGACTTGCCCAGTTCACCCCAGCCTCCAGACAACATGCTGACATTTGGCAGTTTGACTGTGCCCTCTGCTGTTAACAGGAACACAGGAAGGACTTACATGTCTTGAAAAGGGTTTCTAGGCAAGCCAAACTGGATTTGAGTTTGGAATCAAACATCTCTTCAAACTTCTCAAAGTACACTGGCAGCTGTGAAAACAAAGGTAAATGGGTAAATTAAAACATTGCCTTTTCTTTGTTTGCAAAATCACATCCCCAGATGCAACAGAACAATGACTGCAGCTCTTGAAATGGAACAGCCTGAAAATGGTTGTTTATTTGTCACTTGAAACAATTTGTCCAGCTGTTGGTTGCAACCCCAAAGAAGATCTGGGATGGCTCAAAAGGCTCATGAAATCTGAAGAGATTTCAAAAAAGAGAAACTGTTCTGTAAAATAGGATTAATAATAACTAATAAAATTAATTATAGAAGTGTTGGAGGAGAGACCTTCACCTTCAGACTACAATGACTAATTCTGAGAGTAGACTGTTTTCTTCAGGCAGAAATAAAAAAGAACTGGTATTTGCAGGCTGTCACTGCAGCTTGTTTTGCTCCAGAAGTTCCACCATTGCCTCTGAGGCAAGTCCCTAAAGACCTTGACCCTAAGGCCACAGAGGCAATGGTATATGCAAAAAAACTTACAGTTGTTGGTTTAAAGTATTTGAATACTTAAGACACACAATGTAGTATTTTAGATATCAGCATAGCAAAGTGAGCACTGAACAGTCTGTAATATTTCTAACTCTTATCATTTTACATTATGAATTTGAAGTAACTTACCTCTTGAAGCCTGTCTTTGATGCTGAAAATAAAGGAGCTTAGGACTTCACTAAAATGGAAAAAAACAACAAGTATGAACCAGAAATGCAAATTACTGAAGTGTACAAAAATTGAAAAGATCACTGTAAAAATGAGAGAGAAAACACTGCAAGGCACAGTGTAGTATGAAATGTTAGCACAGAAACATGATTACTTCAGGGGCCTAACCCTTTGAAGTCACCTCAATTGTTTAAGGAAAACATGGACTCTACAATGTAAAGTAAGAAAAAAATACCTATATGCACATGCTCATATGTCATATACATGAAGTTATGGGGGTTTTACTCTCATATTTTTGGCCTCTCTCTCAGATTTTCAGTTGGCATTTGCCCAACTGTCCATTAGCTCTGGGGTGTGATCACCGCGTTATCTGCTCCGGAAGGACCCAGCCTGTGTGGTGACGTGCCAGTTGCTGCGATACACGGTATTGTGCTTGGACTAAAATAACTGTGGGAAAAACACGGGAAAAGCTTCAGCATCAACAAAGCCAGGCCAGGAAGAACAAATACTGCAAATCCTTTTCTCCTGAGATTATGCCTGTGGTTATCTGTCCTTTTAAGTTGAGCCAGCGTATCAGGAACCAGGCTGCATTCATGATTAAACTGCCACACCAAAATGCACGGATGGTTGCTAAGCAAAGTGATAACCTTTTCCTCTCTGAAGATTCGGGTCATTTTAAGTCAATCACTTGAGTGATCTAAATTATAACAGCCAAAAATATGCAGAGGCCAGGTAGAATCTAGTTATGAGAATCAGGCAGTGCTTTTGAAATCTCTCTAGACATATGGAAAGGAAGATGCTAATTTTCTTAGTCAAACTTGAGGGGGATACAAATTGATAAATTATACACTTATCTTTGAAAAGATAATATAGTTATTTCTAAAAACAGGCTTCTAATCTGGGAGCAAGTCTGGAGTGTAGGAAGAAGCATAATTCATTTAAAGAAAAAAATAACAAATAATTATGAGTGATGCCTAAACATTTATAACTACTTTCTCATTTCATTACAAAAATCTTCCTCTAATAGGCAATAGAGAACAAAATTTTGTCTTATCAGAAATGCAGTGCCCATTTAAAAGGCAAGAGAGATACATAGCCAGATTTGATCAAAGGCTTTTAATAAAAACACACTTCACTTTGGATGTTACATTACAAAATGTACAGTGCTAAGAATTATTTATGGGTGCACTGGGGAGTTTGCCATATTTAATTTTTGAGCTTCAAATTGCTGGCTTGTTCCTTGAAGTCCTTCAGGACCTACAGGTACCTGCAATTCTTGGCATCTGACAAAGAGCAGATGCAAATTACATTAGCAAATAACACTTGTCTCTTACCAAAAAACAATACACAAAAATCTTGTATGGAAATAAAATTCTAGAGATATGTGCAGGTTTATAAAGATGCAATCTGCACACAAGTGTGTTTGGCAATCCCCTTATTTGGCCCAAATACGAAGGCCATCCTCAGAGTCCCTTTTATTACTCCCTACATAACCTATAAAAGCTTGAGAAATAAGGTTTTTCACAAAGCATCAATACAGAAAAAAGAAACAATGCTGATTAGACAAAGACAAAGGTAAATTCAGGTTAGAGTTCTGCTGTTCAGTGGGGTTTATGGCTGAATGTGTTACATAAGTTGCAAATAAACACTATTCTCTTAGCTTGCAACTCTTTCCAGTTAGAAATTATTTAAAACTTGAAAATACTGTTGTTGGAGAAATATGTCATGTATGATTTATAATAGGGGAAGAAGGAGCTGCAGAGAGTGATAACCACCAGAAGAGAAAGAATTTTCAATGGATGTCTACATACCGGTCATATTTGTCCTTTATTTTGTTCTTATTCACTTCAAAATTTTCCAATACGTTTTTCACTCTTCCGGCACCAAAATTAAGAGAACCTTTTTCTCTTGTTTCTTCATCAAATAACTGTGGTTTTGTCTGGTATTTGGTAAAAATACTGGGCTCGCTCTGTGACACAAACAAAAGAAAACTGTTGAAGTACAAAAATAATCAGAACATTAATTAGAAGAATTCATTTGTTTATCCGGTGCAGACAGACTTCACAGTGATTGGACATGACAGATTACACTAGATGAGGAGATTAAGAATTTTGTGAGATTATGCCTCATTTAGTGTCCCTAGTTAGATCAACTCCCTGTGGAACTGAGACCCAGCCCAAATTCCTCCAGACATAGGCTTTTCTCTCATCTTGAGGATTTTCAGTTTGCTACAGTTATAAGGTGTGCGGGGCTTTTTTCCCTTCTATGTTCAAGACAGAGACTATAAATGAATTTCAGCATTCCTGGAATTGTGGAAAAGTTCAAGTTGTCAGTAGAATCTCCCTGTACAGGAATCTAAAAAAAAATCTTATTGAATTGCCTGGTGGATGACATCATTTTGCTGCCAACTAGCAACATCGACAGACTGTAGATGAGTTTTTCACATGCTTCAATACACATTTTAGAACAAGAAATTTGATATTAATATGAAAGCTTCATTCTACAAAATTTCCAGACTCTGTGTGACCAAAATGGAAATGCCTCTTCCTTAAAACATAAGAAAATGCAAATCCCATTAATATTTTTTAATCATGAAAAGTGAATTTCCTGTTTTGTGTCTGATGAAAACTGCTCCTAGGCAAAATGCATAGGACAGCAGATAACATCTGGAACTGAAGGACAGCCTGGGGCCTCCAAGCTGGCACCACTGCCCTTCCCTAATCTTTGCTCCAGGTGTGTTTATTCGGATCTCATTCTCTCTGTTAGCTGTGCAGGAACTATTTTAGTAGAGTCTGGTAACATCAGAAACCATGAGCTGTAGGAGGAACATTGTGAGCATAGAAATTCTTCACCCCTATCCAAAATCATCCAAGCATCTACCTTAACAACAGAGCAGCAAGGTCATCGTCAGTGCAGGGAAGCTAACACTGAGTAGCTCTGTCATCCTTGCAGAAAGCTAAGGAAGTGAAATACATCATTTTTGAAAGAAAAATGCATGTAATATTCTAACTTGGCTAGGTAGGTTGTCTAAAGACATTAGCTTGACAATAATTTCATATTATTTTAGTAACTTAAAAAATGTGATTGAAGAAAATAATACCTATCTCAATAATAATTTTTAGCAATCTGCTATAAATACCACATTCATCTCACCAGGCAGTTACTTTGTCTTGTCACAGTAAGGATGTATACTTAGGAAGAAGACAACTTGATTTCAGCAGTTACTGACATTTGCAAATGTTACCACCTGATTTCAGCATTTTCCATGAACTCTGAATGGTGGCTGTGTGCCTGCACAGGGCTGGCTGAGGGTGAGACTCACATCCTGGGAGTTCTGCTGTCCCGGCTGTGTGCCCAGCTCCAGCGGTGCTGCTGCCGACTGCACATTCTCCGGGCAGAACTGGGAGCCAAAGAGCAGCTGGGAATCACTCAGACTCGAGTAGTCACTGGCAGTGTTGCTCCTCATGGAAAACTTATTGGACCTGAAATGGGCAGAGAGGGATGTGAATGAGTCTGGAGCAATTAAAAAGCCAAACAAAATTCCCTGCATGGCCTGCTGGAAGTGCTACTCTGGATAACAATTTTTTGTAACTCAGGTGTTGCTTTGATCAATTGGAAGGCAGTTCTAAGAGAATAAACCTTTCTGACTTGTAGCTGACATTTCTTGGGCATTTATTCTCCAGATGCCTTAAGTCTGACACAGTAAAATAACAAATAAATAGAGGTAGCATATGGCAGGATGAACTAATATGAATTGTTGGAAGTATTTCAAACAAATTAACAGCTACACAAAAGTGCTCTTCTTTCCCTTGAGCGTTACTCAAATAAATCTTTCCTAGATACTCCTGATTTTCTGCTGTGTTGCTCTGATTCTACTCCTCTTCAGAAACACTCTTATATTCCTCTCCTGCTTTATGGACTACGCTTGTGGCACAGGACCAGCTTCCCTCAGACAACAGCTTCCCTGCACAGCTGTGCTGCTTCTCATTGTGTTGGAGGCTGACTTCAGTATTAATGTTAGCAAAAGTACATACAAAAGATTTCTTTCATTTTTCACAAAGAATTGTAGAGGAGTTTGGGTTAGAAGGGACCTTAAAGATCACCTAGTTCCAACCCTCTTGTCACGGGCAGGGACACCTTCCACTGTACCACGTTATTTAAAGCCTTGAACATTTTCAGAGATAAGGCTTCTATAGCTTCTCTGGGCAACCAGTGCCAGTGCCTCATCACCCTCACAGTAAAGAATTTTTTCATAACAATCAATATAAATCTACCCTCTTTCAGTCTAAATGATCACTTTTCCATTGCTCCACATCCACAAGGTCTGGCAGAGTGTTTAGGTTAAGACCAAACACAAAAAAAGCTGTGCCAGGTTTATATTCTCAGATCTTGATTTTTTTGAGCTACTAAGATGGAGAAATGTGTTGCTGCCTTTGGAGCTGGGAACTAGAGACCAAAAAAAGAGAAAATAATTAATGAAACATTTATACAAGGTTTTTTTTCCATATCAAATGATACAAGTAAAGGAGAAGGAACAGGAGAATAACTCATGTGTATAACAAGAGATAATCACCCCAACATTTATTAGCAATGACGTGTTTGGTTAATCCCCAATTTTGGAAGGAGCCCAGACATCATAGACACAACAGGGAAAGGATTTAGCAGCAGCACTTGAACTGATCAGTCTCCATTATATAGTAGTGTCACTGACAATATCATATTAATGCTTTTGGCTTTATGCTCACTGAGTACATTGAGCTGCAGACAAAAATAGATGAGGTATGGGTTTCTGGATTCTCAAAAAGCTTGTCTGAATTCAAACCTTCTCCCTTAATCCCTCTCTGGACCCCAAATCTGCTAAGGAAAAAAATCTGAATACAATTTTCCTGCAATGCAGGAATACATCTCCTGCACCAGTTTTATAAATCTGTCTTCCAGCCAAAAAAGCTCCCTCTTAGTTTGAAGAAGAGTTTTTATAATCTTTAGATGCTTTAAAGTCTTGACAAACCCCCTTTGAAAGAGTCCAGTATAACTGGTAAATGTCACACTCCACGATATGCTCGTTTTCTCAGATGCTTTGTGTTATTTAATACCTGAAGTACAATATTCTTATAGCAAATATTTTATGAGGAGTATTGAGCTGAGAGGACTTTATGAGCCAAGGGACTTCCTAGGCTTACTCTGTACTACAACCAAAGGCAGCTGTTGGCTGCTCTGGAGCCCAGTTTTTCTGTCTTAAGTCCACTACCTCAGCAGTTGGTTTAGGAATGATGGCACTTTTGCAAATTAGAGGGGGAGGTGAAACAGATGTCTCTTTTGAATACACTCACTCCCCTGAGCAATGTATTTCTTTATCCCTTGCTTAACACTGCTGGTAATTAATTTACTAACAAGGCCATCTGGGCAAGCCATCAGCCTGGCCATGCTTGGTCCAAGCCTGTCCCTGACAGAGAGATCAGACAACGATGATCACATGTGGGATCAGATCCATGATCAGGCAACTCCAGCTCTTCTAACCACCTGACCATTCCCTTCAGAATGCCTGAGATGCAGGGTTGCATGTTGTGTCCTAAATATAAACTCTTTCCCATAAACAGCAAGGAAACATCCCAGGTATGCAATTCCACTTAGCAGTCCCTCCTAAGTGAGCAGTTTACCTCAGGAGAACTTCTGGCTTTCTGCTAACATGAGCCATACCCCAAGTCATCCGTGTTGGTGTGCATAGCATTCCTTTGGTACTGGCATTAGCATATGCATCCAAAGCAAAACCAACTTTAGATATGTAAAACAAGTTCTTGACAGCTCCAAAAAATGGTAAATCATCCTCTGCTGACTGATGGTCAAATGACTTCATTTTCCAACCTAACTTAATGCAAGGTATTGCAATATTGGCAGCTCCAACCCTTTCTCGTGATATGAGCATGATCAAAAAAATCTGCAGCGTTCTGCATATCTGGGGGGTCAGCTAGATCTTCCCAATCTCTGTTTCCTTGTTGTCAGTGGAAATTCCCCCTTTATAGAAGGAGTTAGAACTTTCAGGAGCTTCTTTCATTTTTCTAATTTTCTGATTTCCACTCCAAGTATTTTAGCAGAATCACATGCAAACATTCACTTTTCATTCAAAGGTTCTGCCTTGCCTCAAAACAAAACATGACATGTGATAAATACCCTCTTATATTTTCTAGATGTTCTAGGGACACTGACAAACTAAAGCTTAATAACTGTAAATTGCCACAGGCCTCATCAATCTTTCTTTAAGAACTGATATTTATATTCTGTTGTTTGGATCTGTCCTAATGTGCCAACACCAAAGTTTAAGTGTCATTTGAAAAAGCAAACTGAGACTTCTACAATATGCAACATAACATTTATCTGCAGTGCTGCTATAAGTGATTTTCTCTGGTTCTGTCATCTCCACTGAACATGTGCCAGCATCCTTCTTCTTCTCAAGCACTGTGGGTGAAGCTCACTTATACCTTTCTGACACATTTCTTCAAAGTGCAGTAAAGCCTCTTTCCCAAAGAAATCTTTCTCTCCTAGTAGCAGTGTCTTGAGTAGGATCAGTGCCATAAAGTCTCTCTTCTCCTGGTTTCCCTCCAGAAAATCTCACAGCCCTTTCTGCTCCTCCTCATTTAGGGATCAGGGCTGAAGCACAACAAATCCAGTATAAATTCTGGGAGCTGTCATTCACCTGCTCTTCCTCCTGGCTTTAGCCTGTATCTATAGGAACTGTCTCTAGCTCTGCTACACTGCTCTCATCCTCACTATCAGCTGCCTGCCAGTGTGCCAGTGTGCTCAGCAAATGAGCAAGGCTCAGCCTTGGCTTTGGGTACAGGGGAGCTGGAAGAGTTAAAATCAAGGCGGTTTAGCTGCAAGTGCAGCCTCCAGACATTTGCCATCTCTTCACTGGAAACGGTCACAGCAGAAAATTATTCTTGTGCTTCCTGTCCTCTGGAATGGCACGACCTGCTTGTGCTCCACATTCTAAAAGGAATTTCTACAAACACATTCTGGCACTGTCCCTAATGCATTAACCGCTATGAAATCCCTCTCAGTTATTCAGCTCGAACACTGCCTCCAGTTTCCAGATTTCAGGTTCAAAAATCCCTCTGGTCTTATTTTAATTTCTCAAGGTAATTTTTGCTTTCTATGAGTTTGTTTATTATTCATTCATCTGTGATTCAGTACTGCCCAGACATCCTTACCTTGGCATCCTTGTTAGCCCTTTACCCTGAGCTGGTTGCCAGTTACAACAGACCCTTTTCCTCAAGAGGAGATTGGCATTTCTGCAGAGTAGCCCTGTTTGCTCCCACAAAATGTTTCCCCAACCATATTAAATGTTAGGCATCTGGAGACAGGGATTTTTTTTGGCAACCCCCTATCTAGTCTGAAGCCATATTCCAGCCTGCACTTAGAGCCCTGGTTTCTCATTCCTGTGAGGCTCTGGAATTTTACAGCTGCTCTCCTGGTCTTTGTCCTGGCTGTCTCCTTCATTTTCTGCTTATTCTTGAACCTTAATGTAACTTCAAAATATGTGACCTTGTGATTTGGGATGGAATTTCATGGATAATGGATTGAATGAGGTTTTTAAACTTGGAAGTTATTCTCAACAGCAGAAATAAACCATAGAGAGTAGGGGCCCAAGCAGGCCTTAACTTCAAGAAGCTGTTTAGGATGCCTCTTTAATATTTTCATAATTTCTTGGCCTTACACACTCTCTGGCAGGCTTTCTGTTTCTGATGTCTTTGGAAGTCAGTATATGAGTAGCTTTTATGCATTTAGCAAGTTACTTCTTTACTCATGGTACAAGAAATTTCTCATAACTTCAATTTCAAATTTATATAATCAAGTCTAAATAACCTTTCTGCCTCAGGCAAGCATTAACCCGTTGGGGTATACAGTTTAATTTATTTTTAATGAGGTTTATTATTACTATTCCAGTGTCTTGTTTCTTTTAATTAACAGTAGTGGATTTTTTGGCTTCTGTTGCTCCTGCAGAGATACTGACTCCAGTTCCCTACTGCCACTCTCATGGTAGCACTACAAGAGTAAATAGCCTGAACAGGGATCTTGAGCTCAGTTCAGGGCCAAGGCAAGATGTGTCTCTTCCCCTTTGAGCCCCCTGGCCAAGGCAGGTATTGATGGTGTATGAAAATGTACTTTCAGCATCACAGCTTATCCAATCAAAGGCTGATTGAAGCATCAGTGCTTTTGTGGCTGCTGTTCTCACACCCTCTGTGATCTCCCTCTGCCAGCCCTCCTGGCTGGACAGGCAGCAGCACTGCTCGAATGTGGCACTTTCTCTAATGAAGGCTGGCATTTCAATCCATAAAACTGGTGTCCTTTGTCAATATACTGCAATTGAGCCTAAGCTTTCCCAGTATAGCTGTCATGTGGCCCCTTTCCACCCTCTAAAATAACTGGCACCCTGATACTATTGTCCAACCTAATAATCTTCCCTCTGCTTCATTTCTAGTACCTCTACTATGTCACTATTCTTACATAAAACCAGGTGGAGCAGGGGTTCTGGTTCCCCACACCCTATTTCTCAGGCTGTTAGGGTTGCAGAGAAGCACTTGTGTGTCTGACAGATAACAAATAAAACCCAGAGCACTTTTGGGCTTGTGCATAGCTGTGTCTGTGAGGGCAATGCATCACTGGAGCTCGGCATTTCCTGGGGACCTGGTGGCAGCTGCTCTCAGAAGTAACACCCTGACTCAAACTTGCAAGGAACTCACAGAGTGAGTCATACTCTGCCTAGATTATACACTGATTTTATGTTTCATTTTTAAAGCTCCCTGAAAGAGTTTTCTGGGGATTAAGCAGCATACCCTGCTGTGGT